TTTTTTTTTTTTTTTTGTAAAAAAGTAAACTAAATTTAATATAGTTCTCTCATTAATTTTAAAATTTAAGAATAATTTTTTAACAAACACCCGTATAATACACGGGTGTTGTACTAGTCAAGTGATAAGTGTCATTTTAAATATAAATAATAATAAAGTTTGTAAAAATAATTTAGAAAGACTTCCTTTTATGTATATTTATTAATCCTAATAATAATATTTTTATCACCACCTATAACACAGGAGTGTGCCGATATAGGTCCATACTCTTACCAATTATAAAATATTTAACTTATTAAGATTATAAAATTTTTGAAAGCTAATAACTCTTTTACCCATAATCATATTTTTCGTATATAAAAATATAAATTAATCATATTTTAATTAACTTCGGTTTATATCCATACTGCATAAATAAATAAATTAATAAATAGATAAAGTTTTCTATATTAAAATTAAATTATCTACTAATACTGACTAAAATTTAATAAAATTATATATCAATGCAAAAAGTGATCTCTACATCCACCATTAAAAAATTTAATATAATATAAGACATTTAATTCAATATAATCTATTAATATATAATAAGAATTAACTTAAATCATTTTTAGTAACATTTTCCCGCCATCAGCATTAATTACTTACTATAGATGGAAATAATATAATACTATTTAAATAAAAAATAAATCATTAATTGCATAATTTCCATATAACTCATATTTCGTTTTGTGTTTATTTTAGACAATTATATGTTTCCTTTAATTAAGTTAACAATTATTTTGTAGGTAAAAGTTATTTTGGAATCTTGATTTATGTAACTGATTTCTGGTACATAATTATGTAGCTTATTTTGGAATCTTCATTTATGGATGATTCTTTTTTATTTTAATTAGAATCATTAATTTAGATTAGCATATATGCTATATATACAAAATATAATTTTATAGTAATATTTAAATTTAAATGGCGCCAATTTTAGAATCTATATATATATAAAAATAATTACTATTTACTAAAAATAGTAATTCAAAAATTTAGAAAAGCATTTATTACATACTATTTTAGGAATTCTTTTTTAAATTATTTAGGAATAATTTGAAGTCTTATTCAAATTATTTAGGAAAGAAGTGCATTCCATACATGAATCCCTAAAAATTAGGGATTTTTTAATAAGTGACGGAAAAAAATCATTAGTAAAATTATTTTTTTGGATTATTATAAATCTTTTAAAGAATTATAATAATAGAATGGACATATCTATCTATATATATATATATA